GACCTTAAAGACTTCTTTGCCCTATACACCCGGGGCCGCCATTTCCTTCCTATGCCTGTCCCATCACTGGGCACGCTCCGTCCCTCTAGCTCCTCCCCTACCACGGAGATGCCAGAACTTTATAATGTGGACTCAGACTTCGACGGTGGTGCTTCAGCGCCGTGGCAAATCGGCTACCTTAGCTCCTCGCTGCTTCTGCGCTCATCCCGCCGTCCTGCCGCCAGCACTCCCTTCCTTCCATCCTGGCTTCCGCTCCAGGGCCGCACCTTCGTCCTTCCCTCCCTCCTTCTTCCTTCTCGCCCTCTCTCCCCGGCCTTCCTGTCCTTCTCCTCCCTCCATTTACCTGGCTTCTCACTCTCTGCGCCATGCCCTCTCTCTCTCCGCCTCAGTTTGCCTCTCTTTAGGTCCTCCCTCTCTTGCCTCTCTAGCGCCTCACGCGATGGCGTTTAGTTTTTGCCTGCCGCTCTCTCCTCCTCAGTTCGCTCGCTCGTTTAGTTCGCTCCCTGCTCGGCCTGCTCCCTAGCCTCAGCCTTTAGCTTCGCTCCTGCTGCTGGCCCTGCTCTACCCTCACCAGCGGCCTTTAGTGGTTCTCCCCCTCCCCGCTGCTCTACCCGACTCACCCTTTAGTTCCTCCTGCTCCCCTCTCTTAAGCGCTCACGCGCTTTAGCTTCCTGCCGCTCTCCCGCGTCCGTCTACCCTCCACCCTTAGATTCCTTCCCTCTCTCCCTCTCTACCTCACCCTGTTAGTTGCATCCCTCTCGCCCTCCTCTCTACCCTCACCCTTTAGTTCCTCCCTCTCTCCTCTCTACCCTCACCCTTTAGTTCCTCCCTCTCTCCCCTCTCTCACGCCCTTCCAGCGCCTTTGAGTTCCTCCTCTCTCGCTCTGCTCCCTTGCACCCTGTTAGTTTGCCTCCTACTCGTCGTCTGCCGTCTAGCGCCTCACCCTTTAGTTGCCTTCCATCTCTTCGGCTCTCTAACGGCCTCCACCCTTTAGTTCCGTACTGCTCTCTCGCTGGCTGCTAACCCTCACGGCCTTTAGTTCCTCCCTCTCTCCTCTCTACCCTCACCCTTTAGTTCCTCCCTCTCTGCGCTCTCTACGCCCGCACCCTTGTAGTTTCCTCCGCTGCTCTAACCGCTACGCGCTTTAGGTTCCTCCCCTCTGCTCACTGCTAAAACCCTGCACCGTCTTTAGTCTTCCTCCTGCCCTCTCTCAACTCTTCTACCTCACCCTTTGTTCCTCGGCCGTTCCTGGTCGCTGCAGCTGGCTTTCCGAACGTGCTTCCAGTCCCTGCGACTGAGCGGCCAGCACTGGCTGTCGATGGTCGCCATGACGACGTACGCGTGCACCTCCCCGTCGCCGTCCTCTACCTTCCTCTTCGCGACGACCTCGTCGACCAGCCTCGTCTTCGAGATCGAGGTCGGAGGTCGTGACTTCCCCGGTGAGCCCATCCCGGAGGGTTTAGCTAACGGGAAAAAACGCCGATTACGATGTCCCGCGCATTTTACCGTCAGGGTGTGACGTGGCGACATCGCGATTATACGATAAACACGATGCAGATGTAATATAATTATACATTATATAATATAAATAATATAATATATATTAATATATTAATAATATATTGATATTATCATAAATTTAAATTATTATATAAAATATTCTCATGTACATGTATATAGTAAGCATAAACTATTTCATCCCATAATTAGGAGATATAAGAAAATTTATTTCTCCTCATATTCCTGCCTAGTACGAATGGCCCGATGGATCGAGCGGCTACAATCCGTCTGCGGCCACAATTGGCAGAAGAAATCCGTCTGGCAGAGTCTGCGACACGCTTCTGCAGGGCAAAACAACGAACAAACAACAAACAAACAAACGAAAAACCAACAAAAACAAATGGCACTTGCAGGATTTGATCTTCTTGAGATCGTCGCCTGGATTCCTGCGGAATATCAGCGCGGGGTGACGACCTCGCCCCTCCCCTCCTCGCGGTGGAACTCGGCGTCGTTGTCGAGGACCAAGGAGCGTGGCGCTGACGTCGGCGCGGCTCGTCGTGAAGCGGATCGTCGCCAGCTGGTCCTGCTTGTGGATCGCGATCTGGTACCTGGAACGCATGAGTCGACGCGGTTAGCGATGCCGAAAATACGCATGTGACGTCGTCATGATCAAGGATGCTATATGCAGAGAAACGAGAATGTTCTACTCTCTCGTCTCTCTTTCTCTCTCACTCACAGATCACTCACTCACTCACTCAGTCACTACTCACTCTACGAATCACGTCACTCACTCTGCTGCTCTCGGTCTCTCTGTCTCTCTCCTCTCTCCTATGCTATTCTTCGATCTTGTCTATTATTTCTCTGCAGTCTCTCGTCTTTCCCTCTCTGCTCTCTCTCTCGCGCTCTCGCTCCCCTTCTCTCCCTCTTGCTCTCTCTCTCTCCTCCTCTCCCCCTCGTCTCCCTCTCTCGTCCTCCCTCCCTCCCCCGCCCCTCTCGTCGTCCATCTCTCTCTCGTCGTCTCCCTCACCTCCCTCTCATCTCTTCCTCCGCTCGCCCCTCTCCTCCCTCTCTCTCTCCCCTCGCCTCCCCCCTGATCTCTCTCTCTGCTCTTCCTCCCTCCCTCTCTCGTCCCTCTCTGCTCCTCCCCTGCTCCCCGCGCCCCTCCTCTCGTCTCTCTCTTCCTGAGCGGCGCTCTTCATCTCGTCGTCTTCTGGGATTCCCTCTCGCCGTCCCCCCTCAATCTATCTTGCTCAACTCTCTCTCCTCGGCTTCTCCCCGTCCTCTCCTCCCTCTCCCGTCGTCCAGTCTCGGATCATGGCTCTCATCATTCTGCTCGACCTCCCGCCTCTCTCTCTTCTCCCTCCCTACAACCCGCTCTCTCCCTCCCTCCCCCCCTCACGACCTCGTACCTCATCACGACCGAGTCCCTGCTCGGCACGTAGTAATCCCGGACCTCCTTCGTCGCGAACGCCGTGGGAAGCACCTCGTGGCTCGGCGACAGCAGCGGCGACACCGTACCGATCAGCCGCAGCTTGAACTTTGACCCGAGCGCGGGCTGCGCGCCCGTCCGCGACTCCGCGACAAACGTGTACCCGTTCTGCGGAGGAAGCGACGGATTCTGATGCACGCGCCGAATACCCCGCGACACAGGGATGGCAGATTGGCGGGGGTTGTTCCAGGGGAGACGTACGATTTCCAGCAAGTAATTTCAAGACTCTGCGATCGCCGCTCGTCCGACGGCAAGTGCCGTGATTATTGATTATTGATTATTAATAAAATAATCCTCCTTTATTCCGAGCAGCGGTGCACACGCGAGTGCTGTTCAAGTGTTTAACCCAACCGTTGTGCCGCGTTAATTACCTTAATCACTTCATCATCCTCTTCAGTCCAACAGGAACGTGGGGCCTGCGCCCTGGCAGTAAACATTCTACGACTTCACTAGTTCCGCGCTACTCAGACTTCACACACACGCAC